GTATAATGAGAAATGGACAACTACCCTAAAGCTCTCTCTTGTTTTAATATAAAATATTATGCTAAGCCACAAACAAAGCAACCAATGTGGCTTCATGGGGTTTGCGTACCAGTATTCCCCAACTTAGTCTGTAACTCCCAGAATATCCAGTCAGGATCTTCTTCCACTCTCAGAGAGCGCTGCTAGCCCATATGGTGGATGCCAGACTTGGAAAAATTGCTGTAAAGTACATACACGTGTGAAGAACATATCTTTGAAATGCAAGATATCAGACAGAACTTAAAATGAAGTATGCTGTTGAAAAACAGTGAGGTGTATTCACATCTATTTATTTGCATTTGATCTTGATCACATAAGCACATATGAGGCAATATCCTTTTGTTCCAATAAAAAAATAAGCAAAGAATGCAATCCTGCATTTCTAAACTGCATATAAGGAACTGAACTGTAGTCAACAAAAGTTTAGTCCATAATAACCAGGTTACTCTTTAAGGTCTCATAAGATTCTGTTGTGTTTTCTGCAGAAATTTACTGTGATGACCCACTTGGTTTCCTAAATTAGTATGAAAACAATTTCAGTGGGTAGAAGCAATGATTTAATTTTAGTAGCTCTGAAGTATTTAGATTTAGTTCAGGCACTCTCCTTGCCTGTCATTAAAATAATGTGATGTTGTGGAGCTTTGGAGATGTGGCCTTTATGCCGCTGCCCCTGTCCTGTGGTATAGTTTCCCTCCTGAAGTTTGCACAGTCCCGACTTTATTGTCATTTTGGAAAAATGTGGCTTTTTCTGCAGGCCCTCAGTATTCAGGGCAGTTTGTGACCCTGCAGTAATATTGAGATTTTATTCCTTAGTTCTTGATGTTTCTTTCCCCAATATAGCTGACTAGCAAAACAGATGATTTACAGTTTTCTATTTGTTTTAGTGTATAAATATTTATTTATAAGTCACATAGATAATTAAGGTGACTTATTAATTGATGAAATAAATAAAAATTGGATGCTGCCATCTTACCGCTCACTTCATGCAACTCTTTAACTGTGTTTTCTAAGGCTGTGCTTGTCTGAATCTCAAACAGGTGCTACAGTCTATGGCTTTCCAGTGATGACTTTGCTTTTTGTGTGCCAAAAAGCCTCTTTACATATTAACATTTGTATCAAAAGAATGTCCTTTTCTGTGTTTAACATAAAAAAAGCAATATTCAGAAAGAGTCACTCTAAACATTGACATTTCCTTCCACTTCTGGAAATGTCAAAGGGAAGTTACAGAATGAAATAGCCAAATAGGAACAAAAAATGAAGTTTGATTTAAGACAGTGTTGTTTGGTGTACTACAGGTGTTAGTTTACAGAGCTATTCTAAGATGATTAACTTATCACAAATTACTGTGGTTGTCAGTGGTCACTGTGCTGCTTTTACATACATTTAAGCTTTAATTGAATGAGCACATTGTTTTTTTTAATACATATTAGTAATCTGCATTTCACTGCCATTTTGCTACACTTTTTAAACGATATTTCTCTACTATAAACATTTGCTTGTGCAGTCTCCATAGAGAAGAAATGTTTATATAACTGGGGGGAAAGTGTGTGCTGGTCTTAAATGCCAAAGCCTTTGCTATTAAAAACAGTAATGGGTTACCAGTTCTGGACTGCAAATGTTTGGCTGACCATTTGATCAGCTTATCAAGCAGATGGGTGGTCCCAGAAAAACACATTTCTAGTGTCTCATTCACCTTTTTTGCTCTTCTTTGAACCTGGTCCAGTGTCTCTGAATCTTTAAAGTATTGTGCCCAGAATTGGACACAGTACTTGAGCTGAGGTCTGACCACAGCTGAATAAAGTAAAATGATTGCTTACTGGATTTTGGAAAGCATGCTTCTGCTGTTGTAATATAAAATTGTATTTGCTTGTTTTGCAGCCATATCACCTTGTTGGCTCATATTCAGTTTGCAGCCAACTACTGTTCTGGGATTTTTGTTTTAAACCGCTGATATTATCAGCCTAGGTATTCTCAATCCTGTATCTGTCTGTTGAGTCTTGTTTCCTCAGACTACACTTTGGGAAATGCTGCTGTAGGGTACGGTCAGTTTTATGTTCTCAGCAGATTTGGTAAGCATTCCTT